AAGTGCTTGGATTACGGGCATGAGCCACCGCGCCGGTCTTGTTTTTTTTTAATTAATTTCACTGATGTGGGAAACAGGCAGATGTTATGCTCAAGAGAGACTGAAAAATACACGTTTTTTTTTTTTTTTTTTTTTTTTGTGATGGGGCCTCGTTGCATTGCCGAAGCTGGAGTGCAGTGGTGCGATCTCGCTGACTGCAGCCTCAACCTCCCACACTCAAGCGATCCTTCAAGTTCAGTCTCGGGAGTAGCTGGGACTCCGGGTATGCCCCACCACATCCACCTAATTTTTTAAAATGTTTTGCCGAGATAGGGTCTTGCTATGTTGCCCAGGCTGGTCTAGAACTCCTAGCCTCAAGCAATTTACCCACCTCTGCCTCCCAAAGTGCTGGGATTAGGCCGGGCACAGTAGCTCACACCTGTAATCCCAGCACTTTGGGAGGTTGAGATCGGGAGATCACTTGAGGTCAGGAGTTTGAGACCAGCCTGGCGAACATGGCAACACCGCAGTCTCTGCTAAAAATACAAAAATTAGCTGGGTGTGATGGTGTGCACCTGTAATCCCAGCTACTCGGGAGGCCAAGGGAGAGAACTGCTTGAACCCAGGAGGCGGAGGTTGCAGTGAGCCAAGATGGCACCACTGCACTGCTCCAGCCTGGGTGACAGAGCGAGACTCTTTTTCAAAAAAAAAAAAACAACAACAACAACAACAACAACAAAAACCTCATACAAACCACACGTGAAGTGCTAGGATTGCAGGTATGAGCTGGGGTGCCGGACCTTGAAAAAGACACTTTACAAATCAGGGTATTTGAGCCAAGGTGTGAATGAAGGCAGGTTGGGTTTTCCGCCTGGGAGTGACGGTTGTCCACTGAAAGTGAACCTCTCCGCTGGACAGGATATGACATTGGCATGTCTGTAGATAAGACCTACTTTGTATTGCTAGCAGCTCTCACAACTTACAGAGTTGTAAAGTAGTTCAAAGACAGTGATATGAATCAGGTGTTCAGGAAGGGTGTGTTGTTTATAGCTAAGGCACTGAATGAACCATTGAATATTCGCTGCTCATTCATGAAACACAGGGTTTTCCTTGTAGAAAGAAGGAACCATTCTTTCATTCAATAAACACCTGCTCATCGAGTGCCTATTGAGACACAGCCCTGAACAGACACTGGGCCCTTGAGGAGCAAAGCAGAAACAGAGGAGGTCGGGTGCAGTGGCTCACACCTGTGATCCCAGCACTTTGGGAGGCCAAGGCGGGTGGATCACCTGAGGTCAGGAGTTCAAGACCAGCCTGGCCAACATGGCGAAGGCTGGTGTCTACTAAAAATACAAATATTAGCTGGGCGTCGTGGTGATCGCCTGTAATCCCAGCTACTGGGGAGGCTAAGGCAGGAGAATTCTTGAACCCAGGAGGCAGGGTTTGCAGCAAGTCGAGACTGCGTTCCAGCCTGGGCAAGAGTTAAACTCTGTTTAAAAAAAAAAAAAAAGCCTGGGCAAGGTGGCTTAGGCCTGTAATCCCAACACTTTGGGAGGCCGAGGTGGGCGAATTATGAGGTCAGGAGTTCAAGACCAGCCTGGCCAACATGGTGAAACCCCATCTCTACTAAAAATACAAAAATTAACTGGGCATGGTGGTGCATGCCTGTAATCTCAGCTATTCGGGGGGCTGTGGCAGGAGAATTGCTTAAACCGGGACAGGGAGGTGGAGGTTGCAGTAAGCCGAGATGGCACCACTGTGCTTCAGCCTGGGTGACAGAGCGAGACTCCATCTCAGAAACACTCAAAAACAGTAAAACAAAACCAAGGGCAGAAGTCGATGACTGCCTGAGGTGGGCAGATGGCCATGAAGGGAAGGGCTACCCTTATCCCTCAGTCTGGGGTCTGGGCCTCATTCATCCTCTAGCCCCTCCCTGCTCCCCAGAAACCATGAGGGTGGGACCTTCCTGGCAGCTTGGGAAACGCCAGACTACTCAGTCTTTCCATCCGACGCGGCTTCCACTGCCCCAGTTCCTGATTTTTCTTTCTTTTTTTTTTTTTAAAGATGAGGTTTCACCATGTTGGTCAGGCTGGTCTTGAACTCCTGACCTCAGGTGATCCACCCGCCTTGGCGTCCAAAGTGCTTGGATTACAGGCGTGAGCCACCACACCCGGCCAAGTTCCTGATTTTTCAAGATGCTAAGGACTTTGTGAAATTTCTCTTAGCATGTTTGGGTGGGGGTGGGGGGGTGGTAAAATTCACAATTTTATTTTATTATTATTTTTTAAGACTGAGTCTCACTTTGTTGCCCAGGCTGGAGTGTAGTGGCACCATCTTGGGTCACTGCAATCCCCACCTCCCGGGTTCAAGTGATTCTCCTGCCTTAGGCTCCTGAGTAGCTGGGATTACAAGCGCCCTTGACCACACCCGGCTGATTTTTAGATGGGGTTTTGCCATATTGGCCATGCTGGTCTTGAACTCCTTGCCTCAAGTGATCCACGGGCCTTGGCCCCCCAAAGTGCTGGGATTATAGGCATGAGCCACCATGTCCGGCCTAATTCACCATTTTAACATGTACAATTCAGTATAATCAAAATGATGTCCAATCAGTTCTAACATTTGCATTCCCCACTGCCCCCGCAAAGAAACCCCGTTCCTATGAGCAGTCACTCCCCATTCCCGCTCCCTCAGCCCCTGGCAATCACTCATCTGCTCTCTCCCCGCATGGATGTGCCTCTGGGACATTTCGCGTAAGTGGGATGATCCAAGATGTAGCCTTTTGCGTGGCTTCGTTCACAGTTTATTATTTTGTAGTTTCAGTCTCATTTTTGGACCAGTGCTTCATTCCCTTTTTTTTTTTGGAGACGGAGTCTGGCTCTGCAGCCTAGGCTGGAGTGCAATGGCACCATCTCGGCTCAGTGCAACCTCCGCCTTTCGGGTTCAAGTGATTCTCTTGCCTCAGCCTCCCAAGTAGCTGACACTACAGGCGCATGCCACCATGCCCAGCTAATTTTTCTATTTTTAGTAGATAACAGGGTTTCACCGTGTTGTCCAGGCTAGTCTCAAACCCTTGACCTCGTGATCCGCCTGCCTCGGCCTCCCAAAGTGCTGGGATTACAGGCATGAGCCAAAGAGACGGGCCTGCTTCATTCCTTTTTCTGAGTGTGTCACCCAGGCCAGAGTGCAATGATGAGATCCTAGCTCACTGCAGCCCTGAATGACCAGGCTCAAGTGATCCTCCTGCCTCAGCCTCCTAAGTAGTTGAGATGACAGGTGTGTGCCACTGCACTTGGCCTTCCTCCTTAAGGGTGAATATTCTACTGAAGGATAGACCCCAGTTATCCCTTCGTCCGTGGATGGACAAATGGCTGTGCCCGCCTTTTAGCTATTGTGAGCAGTGCTGCTATTTACATGGCTATGCAAATCTACGAATGAACACCTGTCTTCCATTCTTCCATATACCTAGAAACAGAATTGCTGGGCCATATGGTAACTCCACAATGAACTTACTGAAGAACCACTGAACTGTTTTTCCCTCTTTTAAAACAAAAGTAGCCCATGATTCCAGCACTTTGGGAGGCAGAGGTGGGTGGATCCCTGAAGTCAGAGACCACTCTGGCCAACATGGTGAAACCCTGTGTGTACTAAGAACACAAAAATTACCCGGGCGTGGTGCCGCATGCCAATAATCCCAGCTACTTGGGAGGCTGAGGTGGGAGGATCGTTTGAGCTCAGGAGGCAGAGGTTGCAGTGAGCCAAGATCGTGCCACTGCACTCCAGCCTGGGCTACAGAGCAAGACTATCTTTAAAAAAAAATTGGCAGTCTTGACTGTCACTGTGTAGAACCCAGAAAACACTTGGGATGAGGTCTGGGGGCAGCTGCTGGTGACCCAGCACCTCTGTCTCCTTGGTAGGTGAGGTGGCCATGAGAGGATGGGCCTTTAGGGAACCAGTCACCCCGCCCCGTCTCAGGGTAGAAGCTGACTGTATACCGGTACCACTCCCCAAAGACAGCAATTCAGTATCACCCTGACTGCAGCCTATCTGTTCCCTGTGCTGTGACCTTGACCTGGCTCCAGTGAAGGAAGAAAAGGAAAGTCATCAGGCCAGAGATCCCAGAATATTCCACAGGCACTGTCTGGCCTTGCCGACCCAAACAATTTGGAGGTGGGGTAACCCCAGGACAGAAGTGAATTCTGGTCTTGTGACTGACAGGTAGCCGAGGGCCAGCTGAGAGCATGGATCGGGACTCTGGCAGCTACAGCCTCAATTCCACTCTGGAATGTTCTGCAGGACCTGAATGGGGCACCCTGCTAGGTGACATGTATAAAGCACTGGAACTGGTGGCTCACACCTGTAATCCCAGCACTCTGGGAGGCTGAGGCAGGAGGATCGCAGGAGCCCAGGAGTTTGAGACCAGCTCGGGTAACACAGCCAAGACCCATCTCTACAAAAAGTAAGTAATAAATAGCTGGGCGTGGTGGTGCATGCCTGTAGTTCCAACTACTCGGGAGGCTGAGGTGGGAGGATGGCTTGAGCCTGGGAGATGGAGGCTGCAGTGAGCTATGCTCGTGCCACTGCACTCGTCTGGGCGAGTGTAGCCTGGCTTATAGGCAGCGCTACCTAAATGCTGGCTGTCTTGAGTCCCTTACAGTTGGCACTCTTTATCCGGGTCGTACCACGTGTTTTCCGAATGAATTCTGGTTTAATTGGCACCTTGGTGCCATGAAGTGGCATCTGACCTACTCACGTCCAGCTTGACCCTGGTTGTGTCCCCAGGGCTGAGGACCGACCAGGAGGAGTGAGAGACACACCAGGGGTTAAATGAGAAAAGACTCTTTCCCGGGTCTCGGGCTCATGGCTAGAGGCGCAGAAAGAAGCCCAGCTGTCCCCTGGGCATAGGGCTGCTAAGGGCGGCGGGGGTGGGGGGTGGGTGGGGTGGGGCAGGCCAGGCCATGTGGCTCATGGAGACTTGTGGGCTCACTGTCCTGCTCACCGGAACATAGGACTGCAAGACATATGACAAAGCCAGGTTTATTACTCTGGGTTAAACCTGTGGAGGCAGGACCTGGGTAGGGGCATGGGACAGTTCTCAGTATGCTAAGATCTGCTGATCACCTGCCCATGGGCCAGGCCCCCACTGAAGTTCTAGGTGAGGCCCAGAGCTGGGGGACAGGGTCCTCTTCCTGAGACTGCAGCTTGTGGGATCACTGCAATGTCCCATCGTGGAGGTGTGGGGTAGGGTGTTGGCCTGCGCTGGGCCAGCGTCCTCAGGAAGGTGCCTTGTTGGAGGAGGTGGTGGCAGCTGCCCTGCTCTTCTTGGCCGGGGCCTTCAGCAGTGCCAGCTTCTTGGGCAGGCTGCTGCTGGCTTTCATCATCACATCATGTTCGATCTTCTTCCGGATCCCAACTTCTAGGTTCTGAGGGACAAGCACAGGGCAGTCAGACTGTGACCTGGGGTGGAGAGAGGGCCTGAATGGTCAACCTCTTCCCATCCAGAGCTCACAGGGGGCTAGATCAGCACTGTCCCCTCAAACTGCACCTGAATGTGAGCCTGGCCGGTGGGGTTTGCCTGGCCGGTGGGGTTTAAGTCCTGCACTCTCCAGGCCTCCACACACACAAAAAATCCACACCTCCACACCTTAGCTTTTAAACATCTGCTCATGCTCCTTTTACAGATGGGGAAACAGGCTGCTGGAGCAAGGAGGCACTGAATGCCCAGGTCCCTACATCACATGGTACCCAGCGTGCCACAGCCTCTGGTCCCAGTCTCTTGGTGGGCAGCCTCCTCTGCCCCAGGTCATCTCTGCTTTGCAGATGTGGAGGATCCGACGGGTGGGCAAGGAAGCTGGCAAGGAAGGCACAGGTGTGGGGCAAAACTAGCAGTGTGAGTCCCAAACTGGTGGCTCACTTGCCTTCTCCAGACTGCCCCTGCCCTGCTGCTATGAGTTCCAATGGGTTGGGTGTGGTGGATCAAGCCTGTAATCCCAGCACTTTGGGAGGCTGAGGCAGGAGGATCACTTGAGGCCAGGAGTTCAAGACCAGCCCTGGCAGCACAGTGAAACCTGTCTCTACCAAAAACTAAAATTAGCCGGGTACTGGCACTCACCTGCAATCCTACCTACTCAGGAGGCTGAGAGGGAAGGATTACTTGAATCCAGGAGGCGGAGGCTGCAGTGAGCTATAATGGGGCCACTGCACTCCAGCTTGGGCAACAGCTAGACCCTGACTTAAAAAAAAAAAAAAAAAAAGGCCGGGCGCGGTGGCTCACGCCT